TGTGTCTAAACTGAAGGTGGTTAATTTCCTTCTGCGTATAGGCTGCAAATCCCCCTGTGCGAGCGAATGTTTTGTATCTCAATCCAGAGTATTCTGTCCCTATTGCGTAAGTTTTGCCTTTTGATTTATCTGGACATAATCAGCCACAAAATTTCCTGTCTAGCACTGAAGCAAAAGCAGTTACGTTTAGTTAATATTAAGAAAGCCAAATTTGCCTATTTTGAAGGGCAATATTGGCTACTCTTACAATTTTGTTCAGTTATGTGAATTCTACTTTTCATATTGAACTTGGAATTGCTATATTTACACTTGTTCTCACCTGTTTTTTTGTAAAGGGATGCTGTGAGATCTATATTCTCGCCACATTTTGATAAAGGTATGGTGTCTTTCTTATTGATTAATATTTGGAGGGATGAGTTAACCCTTTTTTAAACATCTCTCAATCTATTAATTTGGATGCTTATACACGTGTTGCTTAGCAATTTGGTTTCAGAACTCTAGTTTATATCACTTTAGCATGTTCCACGGTTCCCATCACATTACTGCTGTCCCTGCTTCTGAATCAGAGGTAAAAACGCTTTTAGATGAAAAAGTATCTTAGTTTACGTCCTTTCTTCTCATTGAATTGTTATGTTGATGATGCTGAGAGTGTTCTGTGTTTCCTCAGATTGAAGCTGAAGCAAATGCTGTTAGAGCTGTTTCTGAGTCAATCTGCCCACTAAAAATTACCCTAGACAGAGTGGTTCTGACATCAACTGGGGTGTTAGTAGGTTGTTGGCAGGTATTTTAATAAACTTCAATCTCTCCCCCTCTTCATCTTAATTTATCTCTTTGGTATATTTTAGCACGTCTCGAAAAAGTAAATGTTTGAGATAAGAATACAACCAGAGCTCAACTCTACAGTTTTTGTTTTTTCTTTTATTCTGAATGTAGGCCATTCTAGACACATTGATGTTTCAAGCTTTCTTAGGCAGTTGTGGGAAACTCTTCTTTGCTTTTGGATATAATCTTGCGCTGTATATAATATTACTTATGCTCGCAAATAGATGATTAGGAACCTACATTACATTGATTGTTCATCTGCATCAATATCTGTGTTGGTATGCCCTGGCTATGCTGTCTTTATTTTTCAAAATACGCTAAAAGTTAGCATGGAAATTTGCGGGGTCCCATCCCAGCTAACATTCACATCCTTATTGGTCCACCATGTATGCGTCCATTTAACATAATTAGGGACTTCAGAATATCAATGTATTTGCTGAACTTCAGGTCTACTTTTCCAACTGGTTGTTAAGTCTTGTATGTAAAAGCAGTATTGTACCTATTATTTCATTATCAAGAGATGCGTGGTTACGTTTGCAAGTCATGCCTCGCTTTAACGATGTTCAATATAAAGGATGTGAATTCCTCGAGTGTATCTGGTGACATAAATGAGGCAAAGACTTTTTCCTTGTTCATGAATCATGAACATCTTATCTCAATGACCATAGCAATGAGTTATCTTTTTAATTTATTTATGTTGTTTCTCTCCTCTAAGAATGGCTTATGATGATACAAATTACTACTCTACAAGTGGTGCACCACTTTGCAATGGTCATCACATGTTGCAATCATTAGGCTAAAAAATATAATGGAGATATAAGTTGGTGAAATTGTATTTTCTTCCTTTTTACGCTTACATTTTATGTTTTAATTTGTAGGTGGACTCTGGAAGTGATCCAGTAACTATCAGACAAAAATTGAGAAATGCTCTCCCACATGCACCTGCAAAGCAACTTGTGAGAGCTAAACAAATCTTTTCTGCTTTACATCTTAGTGAAGATGCTTAATGTCTTTGCACTTCAACCACTTGGTGCTAATTAACTCACATATATTCAGAAAGCTGTAAATATAGTGTTGGCAGTAAAACCATTATGAACTTTAATGATAAATCAGCCATTGCTATTGCATGATTCTTCCACTCATGGTCCACCCCCTTTAGGTTTTAGGACTATTTTCTTTGGTTTAAACTCTCGTCTTCTCAAGATAGTACTGTTAAAATAATACATCAATATTTCTAACATTTGCTGACCACACTTCCTTGGTGCTGCAGTATGATGCTGTAATGCTTCATACCTCATTTGCCAGACTTCTTGGACACCCTAGCAGTTGGCTTGAGGTAGTTTATTACTAGCATTTTTGGTCTGTTGCCTGCATTTTTAATCGTCTATTGTTTTATTGATGTTTAATCTGGAAATCACTGCTTAGTCCCCTGTGATACGTTGTTTTTGGTACTAAAAGGAAATAGCACTAATTAACTACTAGCAGTTACAAAAAGTCAGGATGTTTAACACCTCGTCATAGTTCAAGGAAGAGTTAAAACATAAGGGGATGGGGGCAAACAATAAAATCTTGATGGAGATCAGTCCCACACTACCAGTTTGCTTCCTAGTGTTGGGCATCTTACTATTGAGAGGGAAGAACAATTTTTTTTAACGCGGGAAGACGAAGGAAAACCAAAACTATCAACTTGAATTTCAAATAAGGTAAAGATAAATAATGCTTGTTTGAAGGAAGTTCATTTGAAACCTTAAAAGCTTGTCTAAAACATGACTGGGGGTGATTCAATTGAAGAGACTGTAACAATTTGTTGGAAAATCGCCCTCACAGTCTGGGCTCCAAATAAACTACAATAAGACTAGACATCATTTCAACCAGAGCTCTTTTTTCCCTTGAAAAGTTTTATGATGAGTTTTCCCTTAATTTTCATCCAAAAAAATAGTCACTTGGTTAATTGAATGTTTTTCTTGTTGTTTCAACTTTCCTTTATCTTGCACAGGAAGCAAATAAGGTTTCAGAACTCCAATTTTTCCATGAGCTCGTGAGTAGATTAAACAACAAAATCCGTGGCACTAAGGTAATTTTTGGTTTTTATCTAAATTAACCCTCATCGCCTAATAGTGAATGCATTGACCCCCTCCCCCATATGATGTGCTCGTGTTGGCCATGTCTGGAACTCATGATTCTGTGTTTGGAAGGATTATGAGGCACTTTCATACACTTCAACATGTGTTTTAAGAGAAGGAAACAATTTGAAGCTTAAATCTCAAAATGGGATGCCATTTTGCAAGACTTGATGCCAATTTTGAGTATGTATGGTCTTGTTGTCTCCCCACTTTCATAGAGAAGCCAATTTTACTCTCCGTTATTTTACCTAAAAAAACCTCCAAAAGAGACAACACAGCTCCTTAGAGCATTTTTGGGGAAGTGATGGAGGTGAACAGTTTGGGTGTAAAACAAGTTGGAACGTTCTTTGTAAACCTTGATGAAGCGGTGGCTTGGGATTATATGACCTTGTAACATGGATTGTAGCTGATTGCAAGTAAATGTGGAACATGTGGTCTAAACATCCTGCAAATAGGATTTACTCTAATCAGATAGTGTGTATACAGAGCTTCTAGAGTTCTAGAGCATAGGAATTTGTTGTGGGTCGTTCATACCATAGAACTGTTCCTGGGCTTGGGAAAGACGCTAAAACTTGGACCTCATCCAAGTTATAGAAATCACCTAGTAAAGTCAGGATTCCTTTTTTATAGCAGAAATCATTCATGTTTGAAGGGTTACCCATGCTATCACACATTCACGCTAGCTTAGAAGCTATATCTCTCATCGGAAGATATACCATGTCATTATAAAATGCCTAGTTGGACCCTAATGTATTGCTCAAATTTTTAAAAAAGCAGTCTTGCTTTGTTAATGTCTTTCTGATCTTCATTACATTTATTTCAAATGTTGCAGGCAACTGTCGGTGAGCTTTGGTACGTTGAGGAATATGACATATTAGCGCTTGCGTTGGATGGGAGAATGAAAGTCCGCAAGTTCCAGCTTGGCTGTTCGAAAGTGTGAATCAATCTATGAGAATAGAGTACTGAACCTTTCACCACCGGCTCCTGTATGGCAAAGACATTCACCCATCTATGGGGATCATACGAATTCTGATGTACAGCTATATTCACTTCCACTATCTATACAAAGGAGCGCTTAAAGTTGGGATATTACAATGTATGGTTTGCTATTTGAACATTTTCTGCATGATACTTAAAATTTATAATATAAGTTTGTTAAAAGTAGGTGGTGAGCATTTTCAAAAGTGTCAAGTCTTTGGTGTAGAAGTTAAGTTGGGGTCAAATCTATCCTTATTGTTATAAAAAAATGAGCTTGAATTTTATCTTATTGACTAATGGCATATGCTTTCCTCTTAAGTTGATCTTTGTCGCTCTTTACCCTCGGAGATGCCACCTAAAGACTATTGCTACTCCACAACAAATTCGCCACCAACTACACCCACACACACACTCACAAAAAAAAGACATAAAAATCTCCCCCAAATCAGACGATCTCTTTCACGCCTTCATCAATACCATTTTCCTCGGTCGACATCTTAAACCTATCTCGATGGCCATAATATTGTTAGATGATTTAGGAATTGAATATTATGTATATGTATGGGTTTAGCATTAGAAGGTTTAGGTGAAGCTCTGACATCACTATTGAGGATATTTACTTTTGAGATTAAGGAATAGAAACCTAGTCATTGAGGTTTATGAGTGTTGAAGACAATGAGAAAGTATGGAATTAAATCTTCTCTTTTTCCTTATAAAAATTGTTGAAAATTTTATATCGTTAATCAATAAATGACAAAAAAAAATAGATTTTACTCTAACAATTAACCAAAAATAACCCTCTTTGTAAAGTTCATGGGTAAAATTTGGACCTTTTGTCCTAAATAAAATGAAGGGTAAATTAAAAATTGGAGGATAAAGAGAGAGGTGGTGTGGATTTGAGCAAGTGAGAGGAGAAAGGTAAATAAAGATGACATGACATGGGCGAAAAAGCGAAGCGAGTGGAAATTGCAAGCATAAACGTGTACGGCTTTGCTATTTGACAAAAAAACAAAGCTGGCGTGGCACGCATCTCATGCGTTCCCCACTTGATTCTTCCCACCACCAGCTGCTCGCCACACGCCCCTCCCCACCCACAACATATTAAAAAACATCCAATCCTAATTCCTTCTTCCCCTAATTTCATTTTCCGACTCTCCCTCTCCTCTCACCATTCCATCCAGGTATAATTTTTCTTTCTACCTCTTTCAATTTCAGATTGCTCTATAGTTTTAATCATTCTTATCTTTATGCCCTATTTGTGGTGTGTTTGAAATGATTTACTTCGTTTAGGATGCTAATTCTTTGGGGTTTCGGTTTTACAAAATTTTATTAGGTTTTTTTACGTCGAGAGAGGCAGAGGCGCAGAAGTCACAGGGCTTCTTTTACAAAAAAATTGTTCTTGCTTTGGTGAGGAATTGGGAACTAAATGTTTTCTTATCAATAAATAATTAATTATAGAAAATGGGGATTAAAGAGTATTTTTTTTTTAGGTTTCTGCTTCGCGTGAGTTTTACTTACCTCAATTTAAGGGTGTGTCTTGTGTTCCGCTGTTTAATAGCAAAGCATAGGAAATAGATGGTGAAGTAATGATCAGCAAATCGACTAATTATATGAAGTATACTGCGTTAACGCTGAAAATTTGTTACTTCAAATGAATTTAGCTTGATTGTAACACTTTGATCAGGTTGCTTGTTCATCATTTGACCAACTGGTATCTAATTTTGAACAATAGCAACTTACCTTTTATCTCCTTTTCTCAGGATAACCAATAGAGTTTCTCACCAAAGCTTACACGGTGGACTCGAATAAGAGATGGATACAGAAAATCCTGCTCCAATAGTTGAAAAGGATGCCACAGATGCCGAGACATCATTAGATAGGTCAGTTCTTTTAGATCTTCCACTTTTTGTAGCCTGAATGTCTTATCATATTTTCTCTCTTAAGTATGGGAATCTTCAATAAACCTGTGGTCTCTTTGTTTTTAAACTTATAATGTGATTTTTTTGATAAAGTGGTATTAATAAAAGGCATCAAGAAGATGCGAGAATTACAAGAGGTGACATTTGAGCTTACAAAAAATCTCTAGGTGACTATACAAACCATCTAAGCCAAGAACTAATGAGTTAATAAAGTCCTGAAGTTGTGCATTAACAACACGTTACAAATTGGACCTATACAAATTGGCAATACACCTTGCCTTGAAGATACGAAGTTGACTACCCATCAAAACATCTCATTCCTCTCTAACCAAATACACCAAAAAAATACAAGCAGGTATCAAAATCCAGATCTTCTTGATGACTTTGTCAACTCTCCATAGGCAGTTCTCATAAGCATCCTTAACTGAGAGGGGTGTGGCCAATTAAGACCAAAGAGACAAAAAACATGTTCCATATTTTTGAGGCCACCTCACAATGAAGAAGATGTCGGGTGGTTTCAGCCTCTTTTTTGCACCTATAGCATCTGTTTGGGAACTGTATTTTCCTTTTCTTTAGATTGTCTTGGCTAAGATGCCTCATATAGAGCTGTCCAAGACTCCAAGTAAAACAAACAACCTTAGTTGGCAGCTTGGTCCTCCAAATGAGTTTCCAAGACCAGTTGTCTATCATGGGGTTTCTAGAGCATAATTGTTGGTACTCTGCCTTGATTGTATAAATTCCTTCTTTTTGGTATCCCCATTTGAGCTTGTCAACTTCCTGGGGATGTGATTTTTCATGCAAGTTTGATGCCAAAATTGCTTCTTATTCAAAGCTTACCTTCTGATTTTGTTAAATTTGCAAGGGCATTGACCCCTTATGTAGATAGAGAACAGATTTATGCCTCCATGGACGGAGAAAAAATTATTCTGTATTGCTGGGAACCTTTTTCTTTTTTCTTTTGATACTAGAGAAATCTCATGTGAGTTAGCTGGCATACTGGTCAGCTCGGTAGGGATCTTTTTGTGGTTGATGATACCAGCTAGGCAGCAACTATTTTTTTTCACAAGTTTAACACATTATAAAAAGCCCAGAACCATACCTTGTTCGTTTGTAGACATTGTCTCACTGACTAACTTGCAAAAGTTCCTCACAAAATTTAGAGAATGCATTTCTGCCTCTTCATAACTCTATTCTCATATCTTTGAATCCTCATAAAAGTTCCCAAATCTCAGGATAAATACAGTAATAATTTGTGTACTCAGTTCATGTATTTATTTTGACTTTGTTTTGACTGCTCTCTGCATCATTATCAGTGGCATATCTATACGAGTACTGATTGTAAAGTTCTCTTGTTACAGCTCTCATCTCGGGAAGAAGATTCAGAAGAAAGTTCCAAAAAGAATTCACAAAGCTGAGAGAGAGAAAATGAAGAGAGAGCATCTGAATGAGCTTTTTCTTGGTTTGGCTGATGCTCTTGGTAATTTCTTGATTGCTTATAACTTTCCCATGTCCACCTCTGACAAATCCCCGGAAGTGGTTCCTCTAGTGTACATTTTCAGTAAATAGATTGGCTAATTTATTAGACATGGGTGTGCCTTATTGGTGCAGAACTATCTGAGCAGATGAATGGAAAAGCCTCTGTATTGAGTGAAGCTGCTCGATTTGTAAAGGACATGCTTTCTCAGATCAAGCATATGAGGACAGAAAATACAACTTTGCTGTCTGAATCTCAATATGTAAGTGTCCTAATTTCTGGGAGTTTTGCCAGCTTGGAGATGCTGCCCATTTTTTCACTTTTTAATGTCCTTTGAAGTTCGAACCTGGATTCACATAGAACATTGTGCCACTATATGGACATGGTATATACACTAAATAGGATAAATATGAGGTCCAAACTGAGAAGAGTTGCACCCCCTTGAAATGATCCGGCGTTCTAATTATCTAATGTGATCTCTCCAGTAACTCAAGGAAGATACCAAAAATGATGTAATAATAAGACGGTGGGATTCATTTTTTTATGAGTGATTGATTTTGCCCTTCATTCCTCATCCAGGATGTCTGATCCACTCAGTTGCAATCTATACATTACAGCTTCACATATATTCTGCTGTTATTCTTTTCTAGTTCTGCAGTCACTAAACCTGTCTTATTGACAGCTTAGCGTGGAGAAAAAGGAGCTTGAGGATGAAAATACAGCTCTAGAGGCTGAAATTAGCAAACTGCAGACTGAGGTCAAAGCAAGGGAAGCTGAGACTAGTCTTGACCTAAATCTAGCTCCTCCTGAAATTCATCACACAGAGTTTGCCTCACAAACTAACTATATGAGATTGCCTGCTTCGGAGCACGCATTTCAGCAGTCACAGATGATGAACCCTGTGTACGTCTTTCCCTTGAGTTCTAATCCCCAGGCTTATCCAGCGCCTGATGCTGCAGATTCCATGGCTATGCCCACATCTACTGTGAAGAAACCACAGCCCAGATACCCCACTCCAAATGATGTATGGCCATCCCAAATCCTTGAAAAGAGGCCTCAGTTGTTGCGACAGGAGGTTCAAGATGGTGCATAATAATAGTAGTCTAGTAGAAACGAGACATTCGTTCATAGGGAATGGCATGTATAATTAGTTAGGTAATGTAGATTTAGACGATAAGCAGCAGCAGCAGATTCAGCAATACTTTGGACTTGCAGCTCTCCATTGTATATAACCTTTTTGTTGTATTTTGATCAGCAATAACCTAGTTTGTCTGTCGAGTATCGAGGTAGTATCAGTTGAGATCAACCATACCATAACAGTGTTAGATATACAGAAATATGTTGGTAAACAAAACCTGTAAGTAGGCGCTTGACGTGACATCTATGGATTTTGATGTTGAACTCTAACAATGTTCTTACTGTTAAGGTCATTTTCAAGCTCTGGGTTTCTCTAAGGTGGCCAAAATTAGTCCTAGAATTGACTTTAAGGGGTCGTTTGGTAGGGAGTATTGGGAGAAATAGTCCAAGTATTATGTGTGGTATTATTTAGTACTATATTTGGTAGGAATTTTGGGTCTATGTATAATCAATCCATGGATTAGTTATACACCCTACATGGTATTATAGGGTGTATAACTAATACCTTCCATTTGGTGGTATTAGTTCTAATACCATGGGACTAATCTAGGTAAAGACAAAAATACCCCCTCAAATCCTTTTAATCATTTTGTTTATTTTCTTGATTTTATGTTTTATATTTATACTAATAAATTTATTTAAATAAATTAGCTTACAAATTTTATTATTTAGATATAATTTTTTGTTTCTAAAATATGAGTTATTTAATCTATTTATTATTAATATAAAATATTATAATCCGACTAATATGGTAATGTTGATGTGTGAATTTAAGAACAATTCATAAGTCAAATATTGCCTCTTAACATAAGTCCATTAAACATTACACAAGTAGTACTAAAACAAGAGCATATATATATATATATATATATATATAAAACATCTCGAGTATAAAAATAGTTTAATTTAGTTTGCTATATTTATTTTATTTTATTTTATGATAAAGAGTTTTTTTTTTAATTTATTGAACAAAACAAAGTTCAATAAATTTTCTCTATAAATTATTATAGTTGTGTGACATTTTGAGATATTAACTCCAATTTATTAAGATGATGATTATTTACTCTCAAATAATTTAAGTGAGAAAATAGTGAACATGACAATAAAAATTTTTATTCTCCTAGCTAGTTAAAATGCTATAAAAAAATAATATTATCCGTCAATTATCTACCTTGACCCAATTACATGAAATAGAAAATTCCATAATAACTCAAGGGTATAATTGGAAAGAATTTTTTTTGTAGAGTTTTAAACCACACACAAAACTAGGTAAGAAACAATGAACCAAACACTTGATAAAAATAATTCCTGCATTACTAATCCATGCATTACCAATCTCTGCATTACTAATCCCTGTATTATTGATCTTTGTACCAATCGACCCCTAAGTATCATTATTATTGTAGAAATCTTAAGAAAATGACAGAATTGGTCTCGTGTTTGGGAGTTAGTTTGAAATAGTCACTTGGATATATTTTTTTACAGTATTTTTGTCCTTCCATTAAATTTATGAAACGCGATTTCAGTTTTCGTCAAAGATTTAACAGATGTTTGCTATTAAATTAAATAGAAATTGAGGGGAAACAACAGTTGTTTTACAATGTTGACAATTTTGATAAGTTAAAATATGCTCACTTTTGATAGTATAAACTATTAAAAACAGCAACACACACTATAATTATAAAAGTGATGTTTGGAAAGGTTAAAGTATATACAAAGTTGCTCCGTGTTTTGAAGATAAAAAAAATGTTTTAAATTTTTTAAAAATATAGTGATAAGGGTTTGAAAAATATCCTAACTTTGGTTGGATTTGCTGTTGCGATACTAAACTTTCATGAGGACCTATTACCTCCCTAGACTATTTAATACCGTATTTTTTACCCCCTGAACTATTTAATAGTGTATTTTAAAGGTATATATTTGCCCACGTGGACACATTACTATTTATAATTTTGCATTATTTTTTATGTTCACGTGGGCAAATATATATGTTTAAAATACGGTATTAAATAGTCTAGGGAAGTAATAGGTCCTCATGAAAGTTTAGTATCGCAACAGCAAATTCGACCAAAATTGAGATATTTTTCAGACCCTTATCCCAAAAATATATTTAAAGGACTATTTTAATAAACCTATCCAAAAATAAGAAGTAGGTTTTCTCATTTGAGATCTTGCACTCACTTGTTTTAAGTTGGTATTTCACTAGAACGTACCAAAAATGGTCTTTCGTGTAAAATAAGAATGGGTAGGAAGGGAAGGGACAAATATACAAGTCCCGCAAAGTTTGGTTGAGTTGTTGGATGGTCGCACGTATATTATCAATTTTTTATTCAGCCAACTCATCTTTTAACGTGAAGGTATTTTTTTCGCTGGATGTTTTGAAGTTCATATTGAAGCTTCAATTAAATTTGAATCACATACATGATCTATTTGAAAATAACGCTCCTAACATGATTTTTCTCCACTCGAACCTGAGGTGTTTACTGCAAGAAACATTTCTTTTTATATTTTTGCAGACAAAAATCATGGTAATTGTTTGAAAAATAATTCTTGTGAAACTGAAGATTAAAAAATAACAATCAAACTAGACTACCTAAGTTCTAACGAACTTTGCTTTTTTTGTTACTCCCACATACAGTGAATTTAATTATAGACTCTAGCTACCTTTTATCTTCTTTTCCTTTTTCATTATATTATTATGTTGTTAATTTGACCTTAATTTTTTTTCGTGGGGAAGTTTTTAATTGAGAAAATTGTATATAATAGCAAACTATTAATTCAAATTAAATGCTATAAATATAGTTTGATTTAATTGTACCTCATATCAAACTGTTGCCATTTCACCTCTCTCCTGGTGAATCTCGCTCGCCACTCTCGTTCTCTCCCTCGCCTCTCTCGTTTTTTATACAAACGCAAGTGTATAAAATGTGTTTGTGTTTGTATAAAGCGAGAAAAAATTGTATATATACATATATTTTCGTTCCCCTCTCTCCCCTCTCCCAGATCTCACTCGCTTCTCTCACTTTATACAAAAACGCAAATGTATAAAATGCGTGAAAATTGTATATATACATATATTTTCGTTCCCCTCTCTCCCCTCTCCCAGATCTCACTCGCTTCTCTAATATTTTCGTTCCCCTCT